TAGAGTGTAATACATGCAGAAGAGAATGACAACTGCCGAAAATAGTTGATTAAGACAGTTTGTCGTATCGTGTCAAAACGGAGCGTTGAAAATTCTGCGGTATATTCAGAAACGGTTGAAATAGAAAACACGCTCTTAATTAGAATTGAATTGCGGAACTATTGTTTAAAAGTGAAGCTGGAAGTAAATCGCAAATCCCAATTTTCAGGCACCACTTCATTATATAAATTTGTATTGCAGAACAAAACTGTTTGGCTTGTTCATAAATATAAAAGCAGACGAGAAGTATTTTAAGAAAAAATCCTGTTGTTTTGGCTTTATAACGTCGGGAAACGAGATTTAAAAGTTCCTATGAGTGGGGAGCTACCGGCTTACCCTTGATACTTTATTTTACTTTACATTAAACCTATACACAGCCAATCAATTATGCCATGGGATAGTCACAGCTCTATTTCCTCCAAACGAGTAATTCTAATCGGTGAAACCAAAAGAGCCATAGCAGGCTCGACGGATTCTCGGAGTGTTAAAGAATCTCTTAGTAAAGTGAAGGAAATTTTGTTTGCTAATGGATATCCTAAAAAGTTTGTTGATAGCGTTATAAAGAATACCAAGAATAACAGACAACGCAAACAAACTGAACTCGACTCAGATAAGCTCATCTACGTAAAATTACCATACATAAATGAAGATTATAAAAGACGAGCAACATCTGTTATGCGACACTCGGGGATTGACAACGTAAAAGCTTGTTTTGTGAATGGTAAACCATTGTCTCAAGTGTTTTCAGCTCCCAAAGGACAAATGAAATTGTCCCAACAAATGCGAGACCTGTAAAAGTGCTAAGAAATCTAATCAATGCTTGAAGAAGAATGTGGTATACAAAATTCATTGTTCACATTGCGGAAATTTGTATATTGGAGAAACCGGGAGGACCATTGGCTCGCGTATAAAAGAACATTTATCAATGGATAAACAAACAGTGTTTAAACATATAATGAGTCACAAAGAGTAAAAAGGACAAACCAAATCAGGAAGACATTACTTGGAGAATCATTCACAAGAACATTAGATACAATGATGAACGTAAATGTATTGAGGCCATCAAAATTCAAAAACATTCAGGGGAGATAATGAATGGTTACATTGAAGGAAGGTTGCAGGGATCCAGCCAAGAATCGGGTGGCATGTGCCCCCGGAAAATTTTTTAAATTTGAGGCCCGGAAACACCATTTCCTGCATTCTGAAACATGCCTCTTCGATACATTTCGGTGGGTTCATATGCATTTTACCGTGGACGAGTTACTGACAGCATGTTTAGCCCTCCTCCTTTTTCATCCGGGCTTGGGACCAGCAATGGCGGAGTTAAAAGTAAGCACTTCCATGATCCAACAGTAATAATAGGGGAAATCCACTCTCAAAACAGCAGCTCAAGGAAGTTGAAACGGGTTCATCTTGGAACAGCAGCATCAAATCATTCACTTCTAAATCGTCTTGAAATAGCAGCAAGAATCAGGTTAGTAGAAAATGTTCACTGTAAATAATCTTGGAACAGCAGCAGGAAAGGACAAAAATGTTCACTGTAAATCAACTTGAAACAGCCGCACGAAGGTAGGAAAATCTTCACTGTAAATCTTCAACCAACATTGTCAGCATGTATTTTAGGGGAAATGCTCACTTCACTTAAAAATAACCCTAACTGCAATTATTCTCTGTAAATAATCAGCGAAACAGCGGTACGAAGAAGGAAAATGTTCACTGCAAATAATTTTGAAACAGCAGCAGAAAGGAAGTTAATAAATGTTCACTGTAAATCATCTTGAAACAGCAGCACGAAGGAAGTTAGGTAAATGTTCACTGTAAATTATCTTGAAACAGCAACACAAAGGAAAATGTTCACTGTAAATCATCTTGAAACAGCAGCACGAAGGACGTTAAGTAAATGTTCACTGTAAATCATCTTGAAACAGCAGCACAAAGGAAGTTAAGTAAATGTTCACTGTAAATCATCTTGAAACAGCAGCACGAAGGAAGGAAAATGTTCACTGTAAATAATCTTGAAACAGCAGCAAAAAGGAAGTTAATAAATGTTCACTGTAAATCATCTTGAAACAGCAGCAAAAAGGAAGTTAAGTAAATGTTCACTGTCAATCATCTTGAAACAGCAGCACGAAGGAAGGAAAATGTTCACTGTAAATCATCTTGAAACAGCAGCACGAAGGAAGGAAAATGTTCACTGTAAATAATCTTGAAACAGCAGCAAAAAGGAAGTTAATAAATGTTCACTGTAAATCATCTTGAAACAGCAGCAAAAAGGAAGTTAAGTAAATGTTCACTGTCAATCATCTTGAAACAGCAGCACGAAGGAAGGAAAATGTCCACTGTAAATCATCTTGAAACAGCAGCACGAAGGACGTTAAGTAAATGTTCACTGTAAATCATCTTGAAACAGCAGCACGAAGGAAGGAAAATGTTCAGTGTAAATTATCTTGAAACAGCAACACGAAGGAAGGGAAATGTTCACTGTAAATCATCTTGAAACAGCAGCACAAAGGAAGTTAAGTAAATGTTCACTGTAAATCATCTTGAAACAGCACCACGAAGGAAGGAAAATGTTCAGTGTAAATTATCTTGAAACAGCAACACAAAGGAAAATGTTCACTGTAAATCATCTTGAAACAGCAGCACGAAGGAAGTTAAGTAAATGTTCACTGTAAATCATCTTGAAACAGCAGCAGGAAGGAAGTTAAGTAAATGTTCACTGTAAATCATCTTGAAACAGCAGCACGAAGGAAGTTAAATAAATGTTCACTGTAAATCATCTTGAAACAGCAGCATGAAGGAAGTTAAGTAAATGTTCACTGTAAATCATCTTGAAACAGCAGCACGAAGGAAGTTAAGTAAATGTTCACTGTAAATCATCTTGAAACAGCAGCAAAAAGGAAGTTAAGTAAATGTTCACTGTAAATCATCTTGAAACAGCAGCACGAAGGAAGTTAAGTAAATGTTCACTGTAAATCATCTTGAAACAGCAGCACGAAGGAAGTTAAGTAAATGTTCACTGCAAATCATCTTGAAACAGCAGCACGAAGGAAGTTAAGTAAATGTTCACTGTAAATCATCTTGAAACAGCAGCACGAAGAAAGTTAAGTAAATGTTCAATGTAAATCATCTTGAAACAGCAGCACGAAGGAAGTTAAGTAAATGTTCACTGTAAATCATCTTGAAACAGCAGCACGAAGGAAGTTAAGTAAATGTTCACTGTAAATCATCTTGAAACAGCAGCACGAAGGAAGTTAAGTAAATGTCCAATGTAAATCATCTTAAAACAGCAGCACGAAGGAAGTTAAGTAAATGTTCACTGTAAATCATCTTGAAACAGCAGCACGAAGGAAGTTAAGTAAATGTTCACTGTAAATCATCTTGAAACAGCAGCAACAAGGAAGTTAAGTAAATGTTCACTGTAAATCATCTTGAAACAGCGGCAAAAAGGAAGTTAAGTATTTGTTCACTGTAAGTCGTCTTGAAATAGTATAGTACAATACAAGTTCGAGAAATACTGACTTTTAAATCACGTTGACGTAGACGTACAGCACGACGGCATTTGAAACATTTTCACCTGTAAATCACAAGTGTCCTGGATTAATTGCAATGTAGAGATTGTACATCAAAATAGTTTTAGCATCATTCGTCGTGGTTTTTTGATTGCGAATTCGTCAATAATTTCCTCAGTATCCAAGTGAATTTCGCGATGTACATTCAGTAAGGCTAGACTCTTCAACCTAGATTCTGACATGGTGCTGCGAAGGTATGTCTTAAGTCGGCGTAAAACAGAGATAGATCTTTCGCAAATACATGTAGTAACTGGGATTGTAGCAAATATTTGCAATGCAGTATATATATTAGGGAAGCTGATTTTGTATACGAAAGGCAAAACGTCAGTTAATTTCGATGGCAACGGGCCCTTTTCCATCTGACATCGTTCACTCCACATTTCCAATTCCGTACTGAGAAAGCGAGGTTGCGGTAGATCATCTTTGTACATGTCAGGGAACTTCGAAAATTTTGTTTCCCAGTCAGGGCAGGTCAAAATATTCCTGGGTAAACCATAAACAGCGTTCATAACATCCAGGTTAGTCTCGGAGAATCTAGTTTGGATTTGGGACTTAAAATGATCCAAAAAGGGGATGGTAACCACACGCTTGTAGTAATCTGTTGGTGAGTCAGCTGGTATGTTTGCGCGGTGATGCTGCCTTCCTGCTATTTTTGGTCTGTGTGGCTCGGTTCCAACTAAATCTGCAAGAGAGACTGCTTCTTGGTACGACGAGTCATGCCTTCTATCCACTTCATTCCTCACTTTCTCGAGGTGTACATATAAACCAGATACCTTTTCTCTTGCCGCTCCTGCATCTATAGCTGATTCTTGCAGTTGCACGGTAAGTGGACGGGTCACCTCCAGACATTTCGAGACCACAACCAGGGTTACGATAAACGGAAAAGAGGTAACTAAAATAAATAAATAAATAACAAGCTTTTCTGGTGGATACTACATTCCATGATTTGTCTACATTGTTTCGAATTGTTTGAAAGCATTTAACAACAGCGTGGAAAATTTCAACAAACACAGACAATCCATCAATTCTTGCTACCCATCTAGTTTTGCAGACATGATCAGACGTGTATGACTTGATGCAGGACAAATTTCTTTAATAGTCTTGACCAAAAGCTCGAAACGCTTGGGAGAAAAGTTGAAAAATTCTGAGGCGACACGAACATGATCGATCGTATCTCTTACAAGTTGTTCTTTACAGTTGCTAGCAACGCAAAGATTTCAAATGTGAGAGTTACAGTGGACATAAAAGGCTTTCTTATTAATTTCTTGAATCCTAGCTGTTGCTCCAGATAGCCTCTCCGCCATATTTCCTGCTCCATCATAATCCTGACTACGACAGTCATCAATTGTTAAATTCTGATCACGAAGGAAATCTTTGATCGTAGTGGCAATAGCGTCGCTCGACAAACCCCTGTTGCATTGCAGGAAATCAAGAAACTGTTCTCTAATGCGATGCGTTTCATCCACAAAACGAACAACGAGGCTAAGTTGTTCTAATTTCTCACGATCAGCTGCTTCGTCAGCGAGAACGGAGAAAACCTTGCTTTGCGGATCTCATCTGCAATTTTCTTTGTAATGAGGTCGCCACAAATATCAATAATTTCATTCTGGATGGTCTTGATTTGTACGTCAGGTTCTTTAGGGTGCTCTTGAAAAACTCTTCTAGTGTCTTCCCCGCGCCTACTGCTCCATACTTTAATATTTCAATAAAATTGCCACAGTTGACGTCATCTGACAGATAATTTGAAGAATCATCTCTGTGTCCTCGTAGTGAAATATTTTGCCTTCCTTGTCTGTTCTCTTCTATTTGTTGCCTTTTCATTTCATCCAGCAAAACATCAATGGCTCAGGTAGATTAATGCATGGGTCAGGTTTCGGCCAAGGTCGAAATACGGGTATACCAAGTTAGGCGCGATTTTTAAAAAGTAAACAAGGTTAGGTTTAATCTGTCATGGTTTAATGTTATAGATTTTGACCTGGTGAATTTTTACCGATTTTTATTTTATTATTCGTTCTTCACATGAGCAGTTATATAGGCTTAAACGTCAATAAACACAGGTTAAATGAAAACCCATTGTGCGGACTCATAATATCGCTTTCCCCAATTGCCATTTTGGTTTAATGTTGTACATAGCATCTTGTATTAAACGAATCTAACTTGCTTTGTTGTCTAGATGGCTAAACAAAGTAAATATTTTGCGTTTTATGTCAATTTATTCCGTAACTGTGCGTATTTATTTAAATATATTTTGAATATTCGTGTTAATGTAGGTATATCAAGTTATGTCTATCAACTTTGTGTTGTGCTTTATCTATTTAGCATAAAATTATCGTTGCTTATGTATTGTAACCTTGTCCGCAAAACGGGCGAAAGTCACAGTTTGTATCAAATATAGAAAGAAAGCTATCGCCATTAAGCCGTATTATTTATGACCAGCGGGAGTCCGCATTGTCGATTATAATTAGTTGCGCAAGACTGCAAATCCATACAAGTGCGATGAATACCCATGATATAATGTTTATATTCTACACAAACATCGTCTTGATTATTTCTTATCAATAAAATTTGAAACTACAACTTTATAATATGAAATACAACATGAAATTGTTGCATTTGTATTGACTTGCGTCTTGCGCAACTAATTATAATCGAAAATGCGGACTCCCGCTGGTCGTAAATAATACGGCTTAATGGCGATAGCTTTCTTTCTATATTTGATACAAACTGTGACTTCGCCCGTTTTGCGGACAAGGTTACAATACATAAGCAACGATAATTTTATGCTAAATAGATAAAGCACAACACAAACTTGATAGTCATAACTTGATATACCTACATTAACACGAATATTCAAAATATATTTAAATAAATACGCACAGTTACGGAATAAATTGACATAAAACGCAAAATATTTACTTTGTTTAGCCATCTAGACAACAAAGCAAGTTAGATTCGTTTAGTACAAGATGCTATGTACAACATTAAACCAAAATGGCAATTGGGGAAAGCGATTTTATGAGTCCGCACAATGGGTTTCCATTTAACCTGTGTTTATTGACGTTTTAGGCTATATAACTGCTCATGTGAAGAACGAATAATAAAATAAAAATCGGTAAAAAATTCACCAGGTCAAAATCTATAACATTAAACCATGACAGGTTAAACATAACCTTGTTTTCTTTTTAAAACTCGCGCCAAACTTGGTATACCCATATTTCAACCTTGGCTGAAACTTGACCCATGCATTAATCTACCTGAGGGGTTCCGATTTCTTTTCTATGTGCGATCTCAATATTGCTGCACGTGATGTGGCTGCTTTCTGTAGTGGCGACTTCTCCGAATGCTCACGAAATTTGGTAGATGCAACTTTCCATGTTCTTAAGGAGGATGTAAATAGCCTGTTCAGTTTACTTGTATTGTGTACACCTTTACATTCCGAACCAAATAACACGCAATTTATGCAGAAAGCTCCATCCACCTTTTGTGAATACGCTAGCCACGGGAATAAGTTCAACCATTCAAAACGGAACTTTCTTTTGTCGTTGTCCAATGGAAACGTCTACGTTGCCGATGGTCTCCAAACATTACAAAGAACGTGGTACTTTCGTTCATCAGTTAACGAGGATGCGTTCGCGTAATTGGCAATGTCTGTGGGAAAACTAAAAGGATCCGGTTTTGAAAATGATTCTTTTTGTACCAGCGAGCTGCTTAGCCGTTTCTTCGGTTGTTGGTTATGAATTTGAGCCTCTTCATCACACTTTGCTCGGCGAATTTTCTTTTCTTCGGAAAAAAATTATCAAGAACAGCTTGCTTTTTTTTAACTTTTTGTATACCAGAAGATGAAGGTTGGGCAGCGGATGAAGGTTGATGGGCAGATGAGGATTGGGGAGCAGACAACGCCTGTGATATTTTTCCAGCATATGAAGGTGTCTTCCTTATTTCGGTCGAACTTGCGTCAATACCGGAGAGAACGGGCTTCATAAAAAACTTCTAAATGCAGGTTGGGTCACTGATGTTGTCGTTTGGCTTACAGAAGGCAACGTAATGGTTTTTACGTGCAGGAATTTTACTCACCGCAGAATAATCTATTGGCATCAGTGCACACCGAAAAATGTGAATCCTCTCATCAGAATTCAATTTAGTTGTTACTCGTGGCTGAATAGTGCAATTAAACATTGTGGACAAAGAATCTTTCTTCTCTTCGGAGGTGCATTCATTTGTTGTTGGGATGGGAAAGTATGTCTCAATTGGAAGGCTTATTGCACTTGACAATGCAAGAAGGCAAAGAAACGAGCTCCACTGGCGATTCAATGCATTGTTGTATGATTCGGTTACAACAGATTTACTAAGATCGTCCTTAGCAAGCGAATCCAGAGCTATATCGGATAGGCACATTGCAAAAGCATTTCCAATGTGTATCTACCGTCTTGGTAGTGCAAATACGACACAGGTCTTACGGCTCGTATGGATTTATGGCCGATAACCGATCAAGCTATCTTATAGTTATAGATACACAACAACTGTGACGACAGGACTTTAAAAGTGTACTATATTTATCTTCTACGAACCGTCAAACTACAATATAAACAAAATAAGCTAAAATTACAAAAGGAAGATTCAAAATATACAGCAAAATATAGCAGTACTTACGACTTGTGTGCCGACTGTAAGCATGCCACTTGGCGAATCTAAGTTCCTAAAAGCGGGCGACTAACATGCATAGCAACCCAAGATAAACGACTGAGAGGGCGTTACATGGCTCCCCCAGACAATGATAAATGTATGAACAACTAACAAATATGAACGTACATGCAATAAGTTTGATGTTTCTTGTCCTAAGCTAATAAAGTTCACTGTAATGTCTCTTGTTAAATATTTATCTAACGAAAGGCTCCTCGGTGGGGAACCATACCCGGTCTGGGTCTGCTCTGGATCAAATGTTCTCTTTTTCACCATCTTCTTGTGCAACGATAAGAACCAATTTATGCACAGGTCGGTCCAAATGACTCAATTTACCTCCATGACTTACGAGGATTCGTACTTTGCGCACGAGGTCGTCGTCGCTGGGATAGACTTCTACGACTTTTCCGAGTGGCCAGTTATTTCTGGCAAGATCGTCGTGACGCACGATGACGATATCCCCTACTCTGCTATTCCTGCGCTGACGTGTCCACTTTTTTCTTTCGCACTGTAGCATGTTGCTGTATTCTTTTCGCCATCTTTGCCAAAACTGATTGGTCAAATATTGTACTCTTCTCCATCTCTTGCGACTGTAGAGGTCTGGTCTCGTAAAGTCACCTGGTGGCTGTAGGATTATCTCAGATTTACATGTTAGCAGGTGGTTTGGCGTGAGCGGCTCCAGCGTTCCCGGCTCTGACAAGTTACACACCGTCAATGGACGATTGTTCACCACGCTCTCTGCCTCTGTCATCAGGGTTCTTAACGACTCATCGTCGAGTTGTGTTCCATGGTTAAACAAAAGTGTTGAAAGCACAGAGCGCACAGTACGAATAAGTCTTTCCCAAGCACCTCCCATGTGAGAAGCCGACGGCACGTTCATCGTAAATTTGATCCAATCGCAGCCTTTGTTGGAGAGGAATCCTTTGATAGCATCGTTGTCGAGGCTTTCGAGTGCCGTTGTCAATTCGTTTCTTCCACCAATGAAATTCGTGCCTTGGTCTGATCGTAATTCGCGTACGTTGCCACGTCGACTAATAAATCTTCTTAACGCATTTAAGAATGAGTCTGTGTTCATCGAATTGAGGGTTTCCAGGTGGACTGCTCGAGAGGCTAAGCACGTGAAGATGATACCCCATCTCTTGAGCTCTTTTCTGCCTTCTTTAATATAAAACGGGCCAAAAACATCCATGCCGGTGTATGCAAATGGTGGTGCAGGATTTACACGTTCGCTTGGTAGGTCTGCCATTTTCTGTTCTATGGACTTGCCTCGTAATCTTCGGCACGTGACGCAGCCGTGGATGGCGTGTGATATTACTGTACGTCCGTTAATGACCCAGTATCCTGCTTGTCGTATTCCGTTGTGGGTTATACCGTAGCCTTGGTGTTTCTGGGCAACGTGATGGTGTCGTATCAGCAGGTTTGTCACGTGGTCGTTCTTAGGGATGAGTACAGGGTGTTTAACTTCGTAAGGCGTTGTTGCATTTTTCAGCCTGCCGCCGACTCTGAGAATACCTTCACCGTCTAGGAAGGGATCCAACTTGTGCAAACTTGACGTACGTTTCAACGTGGAGTTCCTCACTTTGGCGGATTGTCTATCTTGAAACATGTCCTCGTTCCCGGCTAGCCTTTGCATATCATCAACCTCGGCAGAAAAATGTTTGTACTGAATAGATTTCAAGATTAATTTCTCCGCTTCTTCAAGCTCTCTAACAGTTGGTGGTCCTTCTTGTATTCTCCAATTGTATTGTTTGTCAGATCGTTTTCTCTCGATCATTCGCTGTATGCATACGATGCTTCGCTTTAATCGATAGAAGGAAGAGGAGTGTTTGAAACGGTCTGCTTCAAGGACCTTTGGGAAATCTCTCCTGACTTGCTGGGTGGTTAGCACTGTGGTTACTTCCTTCCTGACTTCTTGGTCGTTGGGATCTAGCTCGGCTCTGAGTTGTTGGTGGGTCTGCTCGGTTTCTTGCCACAGAAACTCGGGACCAACGAACCAACGGGAATTCTGTAGCAATTCGGTCGCTGTGAGACCACGTGAAGCTTCGTCTGCTGGATTAAGTTCCCCAGCAACGTGTCGCCACTGTTCAGGTTTTGATCTGTCACGGATGTACTGCACTCGATTTCCGACATAAGTGTGGAACCTTCTTGCTTCATTGTTGATGTACCCGAGAACTACTGTGGAATCGGTATGGTACAACTCTTCGGTCTCTTTATACTTCAACGCTTTGCTGAGCATGCTCGAAACATTTACTGATACTACGGCCGCTGTGAGTTCCATCCTGGGGGTTGACATCAACTTTAAAGAAGCCACACGTGCCTTTCCCATGAGAAAACTCACGTGTATTTGGCCTTCGGCATTTGTCATGCGTAGATATGACACTTGTCCGATTCCTACATCGCTTGCATCAGAGAAACTGTGTATTTCAATTTTGGTAGGTTTTCCAAAGCCAGTTGGTTTGACACATCTAGGTAACTTTACTTGCTCGAGAAGGTGAAGGTCGGATCCCCATTTTTCCCAACGGCTGAGGAGCTCGTTTCGAACAAGATCGTCCCAGCCATAGTTGTCGCGACATAAATCCTGAAGTATTTGTCTTCCAATTAGAATTACTGGCGCCACTATTCCGAGCGGATCGTATACCGAACACACTGTAGACAGCATACCACGGCGTGTACAGTGTTTGTCCTTGAGCTGTATTCGGAATCCCAGAGTATCGGACTCGATGCACCAGTAGGTTCCCAAGGAACGTTGGATTGGCAAAGCGTCGTGACGTAGATCTAAATCTTTTAGGTCATTCGCACGATCATCCTTCACGATTGACTCCAAGACGACCTTGTTGTTGCTAGCAAACTTATGAAGTCGAAGGTTGGGGAGATGCACAGATGGCTTGCGCATTCTTGACTGTACCTATCGCTTCCTCTGGGTTCGCAAAGGATTTGAGGCCGTCATCAACGTAAAACTCTTGCTCAAGGAAATCTCTGGCATTTTCACCGAATTCTTGGCTACCTTCATTTGATGTAGCCATGAGCCCAAAATTTGCTACACCAGGGGATGACACAGCTCCGAACAAATGAACATTCATGCGATACTCAACTATGTGTTGGTTTATATCACCGTCCTTAAACCAGAGAAACCTCAGAAAATTTCTGTGCTTAGGATTCACTACAAAGTTGTGAAGCATTTGCTCGATGTCGCAAGAAACTGCAATCTCTTCTTTTCGGAACCGCGATAAGACGCCTACCAGAGCTTTCATCCAATCAGGACCTTGTAAAAGGTCTTTATTAAGGGAATCGCCTGGATAAACAGCACTGCAATCGAACACCACCCTTATTTTATCTGGTTTTTTTGGGGGTGATATACCTGGAATGGGGAAGGAACCAAACCTGCCCTTCTGACACTTGTAATTCTTCGTCATAGTCCGTGCGCTGTTTCTCATCCTTCTGCATCTTCTTCTTGAGACTCAATAATCTAGTAAGGCAATATTCCCGATTGTTTGGTAAGCTTATTTCATCCACTTTGAAAGGGAGGGGGATTTCCCAATTGCCCTGGGCGTTTTTGTGAATGCCTTCAGTTAGGATCTTGTTAAAACGCATGTCCTCTGCAGACTCGGTTTGTTCTGTTCCGCGAACGTTACGACCGTAGTGGAGTTCATTGTAGTCCAGTTGC